AAAAAAAAAGGACTTCTTTTTTCAGTGCTGAGGACTGAACCCAAGGGCGCTCTACCACTGAGCTATATCCCAGCCCCTTTCTCATGTATTACTTGGAAACATGATCTCCCTAAATTGCCAAGGGGAGACTCTAACTTGCAATTCTCCTGCCTCAGCCTCTCTGAGCTGAGCGCCGGGATTACTGCCGTGCAGCCCCGTGTCTAGCTCAGAAACACGTGCCAGTAAGAACACCAGTGGGATCTTCTGAGAGCTGCAGGCAGGAGCCCCCAGAAGGCCCCACCCCAGTGGGAATCTCAGCCCAGTAGGAGGAAGAGCCTTCAGACTCGGGCACCCAGTGGGGCTGCCAGGAGGCCGCCATCCACTGAGCTCACAGCAGGACATGTGAACTGCCGGAGACCCCGGCCCAGGGGCTGCAGACTGGGACAGAGGGGGTGACAGCAGTCGGGAGGAGAGGGCAAGGCAAGTAAAGGAGGCCACGGCCTGTCTCATTTGTCCCCAGCTCCTGTAGTCCTTGCACAGCTCCAAACGTGACACCTGACCTGAAGGCCCTGGGTGACCGGCACCCTGGTCAGCATGTGGCTCAGTGGGGGGCAGGGGTGGGAGATGGGGGACAACTGCGGGTGCAACCTGCACACGGTGGGGCACGGGCCTTCCAGGCAGGTAATCCTCCCCACCTGTCCTCGCTGTCCCCGCCGAGCCCCACCCTGCGTGGCTTCTGGTAACAAACCGCAACTGTGATCCTTCGGCTTTTGGGCACCACAGGGAAGGGCGGCCTCTGCACCCCACACGCTGTCACCACCACAGAAACAAACTGCTGTGTCCTTTCAGGCCAGCACTGAGCTAAGGGGTCCAGGGGCCTGTCCTCTGAAGCCCAGAGGCTGTGTTCCTCCCCCGCTCAGACAGGGCACGTGGGACAGGGCCACGGCTCACCAGGGCGGGGCACAGACCTGGGACTCGCTGTCCACTGTCTGGGCCGTTCACTCTCCGCGCAAGGGGGAAGCAGTGACCTTCTGTCCACACCATGGCCTTCGGCCAGGGCAGTGACTGCCCCCTGCCCATCCACGGGGGGCAACTTAGCAAGCACCTGCGGGCAGGAGGGGCTGGGCCACAGGGAGGGACCCACTCGCCCCCGTCCCCGCGGGGCCTCCCTACCACACAGAGAGCAGGACACACACAGGGCCAGCTCTTACCATGTTCTCTGCCACCCTCAAAGCAACCCGTGGGTCCCACCCTGGTCTGCCTCCCGGGAAGAGTGCTCGGTCCCAGGACCACGTCCAGCACCAGGCCGACCCACTGTCTCTGGACATCACTGGGGCAGGCCTGGGCACCAGGCCACACTCCGGTCTGGGGAGAACACGCAAGCGGTGGAGGAGAGAGCCCGGCTTAGGGTCTGCGCGTGGGCACAGGCAGAGGCTGGCTCCGTGAGAACCACACAGCTGCCGCTGCTGCGCACAGCACATCCAGACGTGCGCGTGGGAAAGGGGTGGGAAGCACTGAGGCAGCACTGGGTGTCCTCGCAGGCCGGTGGAAGGAGGAGCACCGTCATTTCCAGAGACACAACCACGGGCTGGCCTCGGGCCTGGAAACACGCTTCTCTTTTGGCTGCCTTTTCTTCCCGGTGCTGGGGACTGAACCCACACCTTTGCACTGAACAGCATCTGCGGGCCCCCAACTCATTCTGTTTTTTAAATTTTAAGACAGGGTCTCCCTAAGTCACCCAGCCAGGCTTGAACCTGTGATCCTCCCGCCTCAGTCTCCCCGAGTTCTGGGACAACAGGCCTGCACCATGAGGCCAGCTTCTTTTTTTTTTTAACTGGTCACTTTTAAGTGGTGCCTACCACAGGCCTCTGTACTCAGGCTAGGGGCGGCGTGGTGAAAGCAAGGTTCTACAAAGCACTCTGGGCTCCTGGGACAGGACTGGTTACACTCTGATTCTACATGCCCTGAGTGCGTTACGAACATCCTTGTCACTCTGTTTAATATTTCATTGGAAAACATTTTCAAAGAGCCTACTCTATCAATGACATTAAAAAAGAGAAAATTTCACTCAAGGGAATTTTGTATCGCCCGAGAATGCGGGGCAACGGACATCTTAGGGACTCACGCAGGTGCTCACTCTGAGCAAATACCCCCCCCAAACACCTGGCACCTGATCCTGGAACTCCACCTGCAGGCATGACCCGTGTCCCCTAAGGGGGTATCACAGTAGACATCGAGCTCAAGATATGACTTTTCCCCGGGCAGGAGGAGCCATTCAGTCAGCCCAGCTGCCCTGTGTGCTCAGGGAACCCCCAGACACGGCAGGCAAGGGCAGCTCCTATGCTGGCACTGTGCCTACAGAGCCTGTCTCTCTGGTCCACAGGTCACAATCAGACTCCGCACGGCCAATTCTCAGCTGGGGCTGGGGCCAGGCCACCCTCCTGCTAAGTCCCACTGCATAGGCAGGAGACAGAGGCCAGGCCTCAGGGGTCATGGGACGCCCTGAAGGTGAACTCTGTGATCCAGAGAGAACTGAGCAGGGCAGAGTAACTCCAAAGACCTGGCTTATCCCATGGCCGGCCTGCAAGTGGCAGGCAAGCAACCTGCAGACCCCACTAGCTACTGCACCCACGCCTGCGCCCTGCTTCCGCAGTATGCGGGTGCGGTTAGGTAGGCAATGGTCTGTGAAAGGATTAATTTGCTGATCTTATTACCTAAATTGAAGGAGATTTTGCGGCCATCAGTAACACGCTACAAGATTTCCCTGGTGTGCACTGCAGGCCCCCTCCTCCACTCGCCTGCCAGCAGCCGCCACCCAGCGACTTGACTGCACATGGCAAATTCATGATCCGGGCCGGGGAGAGGCTATCTGCAGAAAGCTCTGGTATCTGTGCCAGGGCACACGTGGCGGTGGGGATTACGGGGCCACCTGGGCGGAGTGTGCTCCAGGGAACTCACCTGATCCCTTTGTTCTGCGCGATGCTGTGCAGGGAGAGCCGGGACACGGCGGAGATGACCTGCAGGGACAAGAGACAGTGCCTGTGATTCCACGAGCCACCCGACAGTCGTCCCAAAGCCGCGATCAAGTGTTCACTGTGGGCGCGAGGGACTGTTTCCTAAGCACATCCTGCCTGGCTGGGAAACAGGCAGCGCTCGGCGGGCAGGACACCTGTTTGCATTTATCAAGCCAGGCTGGCATTTCGCTGCACTGATCCGGGGGAGGGGCTGCTCCTCACCGTCGCACTCTGGTTACCCCAGAAAGGGGCTGTTCCACCCTGGGCTGCTTTGGGTCTTCACTGAGTCACGCTGCTGTTCTGGACATTATCGTCAGTAACAGCTCGTGTTCGGAGCAGGTGCCGACCCTCAGAGAAGGGGACATGGAAAGCCGGAGGGCCCAGGGGGCACCCAAGCCTCAGAGCAGCAGGGGCATAGTGCAGGCAAACACCTGCGTGCAGTGCGTGCCTCTCTTCGAGCCCCCGCTCACTGACGTCCAGGCAGCTGCCTGCTCCCCACAGGCACCATGAAGGGCCTCGGTGTGGACACTGTAGTGTCTCCCCAGGATGACAAACTCATCCAAATAAGCCCTGAAGCATTCAGCGAGGAGCAGTGGGAGCTCCTCCTTCCTGTCCCCCAACCTGGTCCTGGGCCCCGCCTCCCAGCCTTGAAAGCCTCCAACAGTTATCCCACAGATCTTGAAAAGGACAGGTGGGAAGCAGGCCTGGTGGGAGGACAGACATGAATATGGGGAAACTGAGGCAGGGGAGAAGGCGGTAGCTGACCCAGGAGCACAGACTGTCACACATGGGAGACAGAACCAGAAACAGCTTAGGGTGCACTGGGCAGGAGGAATGTATACCAGCCATGCCCAGGCTGCCCCAGGAAGCAGCCTGGACCTGAGGCCTGCAGCGTAGCAGGAGTTCCCCAGGTGTGTGTGTTTATGCATGTGTGTGCCTCTGTGTGTGCACATGCTGCAAGTTCTTGTGTGTGTGCTGCGTGTGTGCGCTGCATGTGTATGTGTGCGGAGAGGGACGGGCAGCAAGAAAACGGCCCCTGAAACCACGTGCCCACTCACAGGTGCCCCCCAGTGCTGGCTTCCCTGAGGAACTGCACCCAGGGGTATCTGGGGAGCAGCAGCCAGCAGGTTCCGTGCAATCCACCCTGCCACACAGCCCGGGCAGGCAGAGGACCCAGGCTGGGTGCTGGCCCAGCCACCCGTGGGATACAGCCCTCAGACGACTCCTCTCAGGCCCTCTGCTTCCAGCAGCGACTTCCAATCAGAGGGAAACACGGCATACAGAAGGGCCTCTCTCGCCGGGTGAGCACCGTCCCCATCGGTGGCTCTGTGTGGGCCCAGGGCTTGCAGAAGTTATGAGCCTGCAGAACGACAGGGGCTTCTTGTGTCCCCAGACAAGACTCAAAGGGCTCATTATGCAGCCAACCAGCCGCAGCTCCCAGCCACATGTGCTCCAAGGCGCCTTTCACAAGTAAGGAGCCACTGGGCCTTCGGTGTGATTTTTGGCTTTTAAGAGCTCCGAACATTTGGAAGGAATAAAATTAAACAATACTGCTGGATGTCCTTGCAGTTACTCGGTACCAGGCTGGAAATGTGAGACTTGAACAGGTGACCAGCACAGAGCACACAGACCACCTCTCCCCATGCCTCCTGTGGCAGACATCACTAATCAACTGCTACACTCCTCTCTGTGAGCCACTTGCAGGTACGGGATCCCTGCCAGAGTCCTGGGTTGGCACCAGCCACTGGCAGCACCTGTCTGGGAGATGAAGCCTGTGTTCCGAGAGGCAGGGCAAAGGCCTTTTTCCTACGGCACCCAAGACAGGCAGCTGTGGCAGATGCACGTGAGTCCCTGTGTCCCCATGCCTGTGGCCTAGTAACAGTTGGGCTCCTCAGTCACAATGACCAGGCCCTCAGGCCCCCCGTACACAGCATCGTGCTTCCAGATGGCAGCTGTCCCTGGTGATTTGTGCAGAGCTCAGTTCTTGGGGTGCAGCAGTAGCTGAGGGTGGCTGATTACATGTAGTGAGCCATGCTCAGCAAACCCAACCCAGTAGCCAGTCTGGCCAGCTGTGCCCGAGGTGCCTGTCCCTGGGTCCCCCTGGCTGGGAGCTCCCTTGGCTGGTGTCTATGCAGACAGAACTACTCAGGGCCACCCCAGGACCCTGCTCCAGTGACACAAAGCCCAGATCATGGGTCAGACAGAGAGGCAGGGGCAGCCCCCCACCCAACAGCTGCCACTTTGTACCTCCTGCTGCAGCAGGAGGACAGCAGGGACTATGCAAAGCCCCCCTCCCAGGACAGCGCACTGGGTGTCCCCAGGGCAGCCCTCTTGATGACAATCAAAAGCTGCTTCGCTCAGGTTCCCTGTGGACGCCTCCGAGAGCATAAATGTCAGAGGATGACATTTTCTCAACTTTTATTTCCGCTTCCCAGCTGCGTCCCAGATAGCAGATGAATGAAGATTCACCCCTCTTCCCTCCCTCCCTCCAGATGCCCAGCTCCATTCCTGGGGCTCAGCTGGGAGTGCAATGGCAAGCAGAAACACTAAAACGACACCCAGGATTTGGAGGCAGATTTATTTATGTCGACACCACTGATTAGGATCATTCCCAGAATATCAGGCCCCGATCTCTGGTGGCCGAGGACTTAAACGAGATAAGCCAGCAGGAAATACAGAGGCAGAATGGTTTGTCTACTGGGGATCGGTTTATACAATGTGCATCATAGTGACCAGCTACGCATCACAGTGACCAGCATTTCTAAGAGACAGGAACAACCAGAACTAGAACAGGAACTACTACCTGTGCAAGTAAGACACTGAGGTATACTGGCTGGGAAGGGCCATTTTCTGCTTTGGGGAACTAGGGGAGGAGGCTGTGCCCCAAGAGGACCCGCTAGAGTCCTTGCCTACACCAGCAGCTCCCCATAGCCAGGCTCACAGTGCCTATCACCAACATCCACCCCAGCCCTCACACACAACTGAGCCTGGGACGCACAACAGGAAGGAGCCAGGCCGGGGATGCAGCTCAGTGGCACAAGTGTCTGCCTGGCAAGCACAAGGTCCTGAGTTCAATTCCCCGTACCAAAAAAAAAAAAAAAAACAAAAACAGGAAGGAGGGGACAGGGCAGCCAGAGGACAGGCTGGCTCTCTTCCCATCCAGCCACAGATGCTCTGACCCCTCACCCCTGGTCCCTGACCCCCAGACTGCAGCAGCCCCTGAGCCCCGGCGCAGCACCAGAGGAGCTATGGAGGGCGGGACCCGCCACACTGTCCCCAAGGCCCTGGAGCCCCAGAATCTGTGTTTCTTGACAAGTCCCATGCGGCTGGGATGACCACTCCTCCTGGAAAGTGGTTCATGCAGGTAACGCCACAAAGTGAATGCCAGTGAGCAGCGAGGCTGGAACACCTGTGGTCACCCAGAAAGGGGGCATGAAACGCTTGGGGCTTTGGAGCTGGAGAGTCAGGCCAGCAGTCCTGAAGGCCTTCATGGAAAGGAGACGCCAGAGGTTGGGGTCGGGGGAGAGCTGTCTCCAATGGGGGCCCGCCACACCCAGGTTCCGATCCTGGGAACTGGGGTCTGCTGTCTCCCCTGCCAAGCAACAAACTAACTAGGCTCCTCCCGCAACCCCTGAGCTAGGGATCCTGTCTCGGGGAGGAGCCAGGAGGGCAGCAGGGCGACACACGCCTCGGGGCAGCCTGACCCAGCAACTCTTCCACCCTGGAAATGACAGAGCTGTCCTCCTCCCAGGCCCCACCTGCCCGCCCTGTCACAAGCTGAGCCGCTCGCCTGTGATGGGAGCAGGCCCCTGTCGGAAGGGGTTTGCCGCAGCAGCTCAGCCTGATGTAATAGCAAGCAGCAGGGCCAGGGCCCAGCCTCCCCGCCGAGAACCTCCAGGGCGATGCTGCAAGGCCCTGGGGCTTGGGAGCACCCGCTGCTGTGGTTCAGCTCTCCCTGCTCATTTGCTGGGCAGCAGAGCCCAGGGCTGTGGGGCTACTCAGGCCTGTAAATCCATGCAGAGGTGCGAAGGCTGACCTCATTTCTCCCAGCTCCCCAGACAGCTGATGTGCCCCAAAGAGGGCTATGACACGATCCGTGGGACCGGGTACTCCCAGCAGTGGAGACGCCGAGTGGGCCTGGCCAGCAGGACACTATGGTGAGTCCATGGTTCCATGGGGGATGGAGCCCACACACATAGCAGAGGCTCTACCCGCAGAGGTCAGGGCCAGGCCAGCCCCAAAGGTGCTCCCTGCAGGCCTCCAAATGTTTGACTACCAGGCAGCAGCTTGATGCCCGGCACAGGATGCAAAGGAAATAAAACAAGCACACCCACAAGGGAACCAGCCCCAAGAATAAGGCACGCTCCGAAGGGAGCACCCTGCTACAAAACATATTCATAAATATCTCAAGTGAAGAAAACTGGTTGTAAAACATGTATAGCAGACATGAAATGTTTAAAATATATGCTCCTGGGAAGAGCCTGGCAGGCACCATATGACAGGTGGCAGCCATCATCCCTGGCCAGGTGAACCCTCACCCTCCTTGGCCGAGCCTGCTGATGCCCACCACAGCCCACACCCTCATGGGCCAGTCATCACGAATCCGCCCGTCAGTACAACATGCCAGTCAAGCCAAAGGGACCTGACTCCCAGCTTTGAGGTAGAAATGCAAGGCCAGTCATGCCCACCACGCCTTGGCCATCAAAGCCCCTGGAGCACACCATGGCAGGCTCCCCACTCACAGTAAAGCAGACAGGAGGCCAACGGGGACCCTCAAGCGTGAGAAATTGAGGAATGCCCTCTACAGGAGACTGACTCACTTGATATGCAGCAGTCTACAAAGCCGGGCCTTTCAGTGTTCTCTTCCAAGTATCTCAGATAAGGGAGTTACACAGCAAATGTTGGCATGGGTGGGGAGGTGGACAGAGGGAGATGAGTGAGTGGGTAGAAGGACAGACGGATGGATGGATGGTGGATAAGCAGATGGATGGATGGATGGATGG